AATTCAGAACTACAGGGAGCGAGTGTAGAGATCATAGTCATAGAGGTCTACAGCGCAGAAAGCACAGAAAAGGTACTGTGGAATAGACTTGGCATAACAGACAAAGCAGAACCCCTATGATCAAGACATTTTAGTAGCTACAAACAAATGACTGACAACTACCTGAAAAAAAAGTCTTGAAGACCTAGAAAGAATTTGCAGTATATACTGAGATACTGGTTAGGGGACAGCCATACTTATCGTACAGATGGATGTGCACGGAAATGTGCTCCATAATGGGGCATGTAAGGCTAAAGCTAGATTAGTGGCTCAGGTTTCTGTAAAAAAAAAACTTGCCGATCAATAAATTAAAGTGGATTCCTGTAGTTCAGGAAGATTGATTTGAGGGTAAGTTGATCACTATAAGACCTGCATTTTTGCAGGGTGAAAAATTTCAAAGAGAATTATTTTTGAAACTACTGAAAGTAGTAAGTGATATAGAAGAGAAGCAGTGGAAATTAAACAAATGTGTTTACGCAATGAATGATGCGGCGACGATATGGTATTTCTCAGTTAGGGTCAGCATTAAGTAGACCAAGTAATGTTTTACTGGTATCACAGTAAATCTGGCAGCCATCTTTTACGATCAATGAATTTCTATGGTGAAATTTGATAATCGTTCTCAATGTGTGATAGGTAAAATAAAAGGGAATTTAAGATCAAATGTCAGACTTTGAGCTGTTTTATATTCTGATGGCCAGAGTTGTCAGAGCAGCACAAACTGGATTTCAATTTAGGACCATGCAGAATCCCTGATGCAGCTGACTCCCTGGGAATTGCCCAGAAAATTAAACTTTCCAATGGGTAATTCCCCTGTCTCCAGAAAATGGAGGAAAGGTTCATTAACTTCAGAGAATTTGGAGCATTCCGCCTCACTTAAGCTAATAGAGGAAAAGTTAATATATTCAAAAACATAGTCTAACTCCTGCATAACTTTAAAATTAATTCACCACCTGCTGAAAACCACTACCTGGTCTGCTACCATCATCACCACCCAGACCTGACATACAAAGACACACCTGCCCCATTGGCCTAGTCCTACATTCCCGAATCCACTTTCTTGGTTTGCCCTCTGGAATGCCTCACATCTGTCTGGCCATGTGTCCAAAAGTTCAACTGTGAGATTGGATGTTTGTATTGAGGGTGGGGAAACATTTCTGTTGCATGAGAGACAGAGGGAAAAAACCGCCTGGGGGTGATCATTGTTGCCGGTGAGGGAGGGATGAGTACAGTCTGGGGATGTGAGGGAGGGGTGATCAATGTCTAGAGAGCATTATGGTGAAGGAGTGGTGATCGGAATTTTGCTGGGTGTTTATTCTAACAAAGAAACGGCAACAGTGGCTTTTGAATAATTATGAACATGTAGCCTTGGGAGGCTTAAACTTACCTTCTTCCGCCATGAGAAAAGGGTGTAATTTGAAACCCCACAAGTATCCTGCACTATGAGAGAACAGTTGGATTTGATGTAAGCCCTGCAGTTCTGTAGGATGCAATTTGAAATGAGGATCTCCATCCTAATTCAAAAATGTAGGAGCAAATTGGCAGTTTGATTCTGATTACCATTCCTTAAAATATCTGAGCCATAGGCATGAACATCAAGCAGAATAAGTCAGTTTTGGAAAGTGCTAATTGTATCCCAATAAATCGGGTCAAGACCTCATTAAAAGATGATTTTGTGGCAAGAGAAGATATAGACTGATTAACAAGTTTTTTATTGGATGGTTAAACTGGTAGTGTACTCAAAATAGAACCAATGCCTGTTATGACATATTGGAGCTGAGTACACTCATGAAATATGCTACTGTTGAGGAAAAAGATTAAAGGAATTAAATTCAGAAAAATGCACATTCAAGTTTACGGCCTTGGCTGACCCAGAAGAAATGAAGCTTGTCTTATTTAATGCTACTTCACATGTCAGTCTTCTATGTGGCTGTTCTAGTACAGGATTTGTCATATTTTTGGTGGGAAAAATAATAAATGTTGTCAGTTGGCTTTGAAGGCCAAGGAAATAAAGAGTAACTAAGAGTGCCTTAGATGCTGAAACCTGGTGCTAATAGACACTATAGATAGAGGGGTATATTTATCCAATATTCTAAAGGAAATCCTGTACAAGAGACAATGTTATATGGATTTCCATTCTCTTTTTGGCAATGTATATTTGACAAAGGGTGACACTGAGAAAAAGTTAAGATCGAACTTGCTAGCATAAAGAAAATGTTAGAAAGAAAACAGATTTCTAGAATAATGTGGGTTGATGCAAGCTACCATTTGTCAAATTGTTCCACAAAAAATGTGCTAACTGCAAGAAATTACCAGCCATCCTCAATGGTGGTGGTGTAGAGTTTTTTTGGAACATGAAAGAAAATGAAATTTTGTTCGAACCACTTTGTGATTAAACATGTTACAATTTTTTTTGTTTAATGAAAGAAGGGGTAAGTAGAGGAGTTTGGTTGTTTTGTATGGAAAATGAAAAATTTGGGTTACTGGCAAGTTCTATTTGTAAGATGAGATGTAGAATATGAAAAATTATTCAATTTTCATTAGTTTTGTTCAAGGGTTGTTTGTATGTTTTCAAGAGTTTTATTAAGAGAAGAGGGCAATCTTAATATAACAAGTAATTAACTGGGTGATTAGGGTTAATTGACTAATAGACTGGGCAGATATAGAAGGGGAACAGGAGGGTTTGGTGCATGGGAAGAGTTCTAAGACTGAATACTTAATAAACTCTACCACAAAGAAAGATATCTAGTTTTCTATTTCACCCATTGGCTTGGATCTTGATTGACAAGTGGAAGGTTGAAAGCTGGCCAGGAGAGTTTTTAATAGTCAAGTCTAGACATGATAAAGGAATGGATGATGGTTTCAATAGTGGGTGAATTGAGGCAAAGGTGGAGACAGGTTTCGTTACAAAGGGAGATGGAGTGATGGGGCGACAGTGTGGTCAAAAGCTCATCTCAAGGTCAAATGGGATAACACAGTATGGTTCAGCCTCAGAGAGCTGCCAGGGGAGAGAAAAAGCTAGAAAATATAGTTTGTTGCAAGGACCGATGATAGGGCCTTGAATCTTCCTGATGTAATCTAGATAAAGTTTCTGCTCATCAAGTACTGGATGTCAAACAAACACTGAGGAATTCAAAGTGCAGGTGTAATTGAGGGGAGGTGGTGAGATAGGCTTATATTGTTTACGTATAGAATATGATGTTGTGATAGATTAGCATCGAGGTAGGAAATAGGACAGGTGGGAAAGAAGAGATCCCTTGTTTCTTCAGAAGTGAAGAAGCAAGAGGAATTGCAGTTGAATCTCTGGTTATGACAGAATAAGAATGGAAACAGGTGAAGAGAGTCCCACCCAGTTAAACTGGCAGAGAGCTGTTGAAGGAAGATGATGCAGTCAACCATGTCAGAGACTGCAGGTAAGTTGAGAAATATAAGAAGGAAATATTTACCACAGTAATTGTAATTTATGGTGTCATCTTCAATTTTAATTAGAGCAATTTCAATACAGTGGTAAAAGTAGGAAAATGATTGAAGGAGTCCAAGTATTAAATTGGTAACGTAAAGGGCGGTAGATTTTGGGGTGGTGATAAGGGAAAAGGGAGGTTGGAGATCAAAGGGGTATTTGCACAGATGGTGGGGTTAAGAGCAGGTTTTCAGAGATGGGGATAATTTGAAGTTTCAAATAGTGCAGTAGCGCAGCTGACTTGAAAGGAATGGGGCACTACCAGAGGAGTCGGAGGCATTAGTAATATCATTTGAGCGATTCCCACTTTGGGAAGTGAGTCAAGGGAACAAGACTTAGATTTTGTGAACTTAGAAAGGGAAAGAGGATGGATGGATGAAATCAGAAAAATATATACATTCAGGGCTAGAACAATAAACAACCTAAGGTGAAGCTTTGCTTGGTGGACCGTAGAACAGAAGGATGCAACAGAAGCAAAAAGAGAAATTGCTGGAGAAACTCAGCAAATCTGGCAGCATCTATAGAGAGATAACTGTTACACTTTGAGTCTAGTGACACTTGTTTGCAAACATGAAGCAACAGAAACGTTTAAACAAACACATGAATTTTAGCAACAAAGTCCAATAATTTCATGCAACATTTGAACATGTGGGTAGAATAAATAGAAGAGATAAGTTTAAGAAAATAGTTTGTACTAGAGAACTGGGTAATCTTTGCTCTGAGGATCATCTTGGAATAATGAGCAGTCTTGACAAAGAAGCAAGATCAAATCATGCTGCATGTCCAGCTAGTTTTCATGAATAGTTGCTAAACCAGTTGTCTGCCATAAATGTTCAAGCCAATGTTACTTGGACTTAAGTTGTTGAGGACTTCATCACGGATGGGAACCAATGTACAAATGTAATCTCCTTAATGGAAGCAAGAATACTATGAGTGGAGAGGAATACAAGATCATGAACACTCATGTGGTGCAGTGGCAGTGCCTCAGCCTGGGTTCAAGTCCCACCTGTTCGAGAGATGTGTAATAACATCCCTAAACAGGTTGATCGGAAAATATCTGCAAGAGTGATCAGAGATTGCCTTAATTCTTGAGGTCAGATTTGGACAACAATCAAAATGCACACACTGAGACCATTTGCATTGTATGGCTACATAGCAAGTGTAAGATTATTCTGATGAAAGATCATTGTCATGAAACTTAACTCAGTTTCTTTCTCCACAGATGCTGCTTGACCTTGAGTATTATAAGCATTTTATGTTCTATTTTTGATTTACACAACCTGTGAGCAGTTTAATTTTTGTGATTCATGCATGTGTATGTGTGCAAATATTATTAGAATATTTCCTTAGAAATCTGTGAGCCAAAGTCTGTAGAAAATGTTATTTCTTTCCTTGCTTCTAATCAATACAAACAATTGTAGTTACATTCGGGAACAGATATTCAACAAAGAAGTTAAGTTTCGTTTTTTTTTAAAATGTGTTGATTTCTATTCTTTTTCAGATCATTGTATTTCAATATTGACTGGAGTCAGTTCTTGCAAAAAGAAACTTTCAAAGAGACCAGGGTACATGAGAAAAGATGTTGAACAAAGGTCGCATCACACTCCATTTGTCAATGTCCAGTATATATCACCACAAGTTGAAAATGAAAGAAAGACTTGTTCCAACTTGTCTTTTAATAACAACAAACTGGTGGAATGCTTAAAAAATCTTAAGCATTTCAGGGACATCAAAATTGCTGATCATCAAAGTACAGCTTCAAATCACATGGCTGCTGAAAATCCTGTAGTTGCAGCTTCTAGGCCAAATATGATGATGTCAGAAAATGTTCAGTGTTCTGAATCTAACTACCAGTGTGCTGATGGTTGTGATGACTCCTGTAACACCAGCATTAAAACTTGCTCCAAGTGTTTTTCATCAGGTTCTCTCCAGAAGCAGGATACTTGCCTCACACAGAGTGAAAGGGAAAACAGTATTGCTGTAAACAAGCCACAAGCTGTTGCTAGTACAAAGAAACAAGTAGATAATGAAAACTTGCAAAAACTGCACCTTTGGGACACAGACGAAGAAATACATTCGACTAATGCCTTCATTTCCAGCTTCAGTTTCATACAAATGTCATTGAATTATCATAGCATTAATGCTAACAGTAAAGACGAACTGCAGCAGAATGAATTTGTTTCAAATTTACAGTTTCCCCAAACTGGACCACATTTGAGACCGTATCAAGTTAGTACTTTAGCAACAAAGCAATTCTACTCCAAACCTTTAAGGGATGCTGTTGATACTCCTTGTTCACATTTGTGTCAAAGTGTTGACATTAAATGTGCCACAAATACAGAATCAAAGGGCAGGTCTCAGAATTATGACTCACTCTTATTAGATATAGATTTTCCGTTTCTGTGTTCAATTGATTATTTTGATGACTGTCCAGGTTCATCTGTAACTTCAAGATATGAGAGCAACATCACTGCCTTTGATCAGAAATGTAACTCCTTGAGGAAGTACGAACAGATTCTTCAAGATTGTCTACTTGAAAACAGGATGACATTCAAGGCTAGTGTTGTCAATGTATTTGAAATAGCTAATGTTTATGAACGACCTACTGCAATTCCTATTTCTTATGGTGTAAATGGAGTGTTAAGTTCTGAATCAAAATTTGTACAGACTATGTCAATCCACTAAGAAACAATTATACAACTCTAGGGTTACTTAAATTGGTAATCCCCCTAGGATTTTCCAAAACTTCTTACACTGCTTTCCAAAACAAGTCTATCTGCCCAAAAAAATTCCTTATTTTCACAGAAGAAAGTTCAAATATAGGCAGGGATTTTTTGTTAATTACACAAATACTTATTGTTTCAACTTGCAAATTCAGTGTTCAAAGATTGAGTGACCACTGATTACTCACAATTGAACTGTATCTATTTCAGACCATCAGGGAAGCTGTCCAGTGACTACTAAAAAAAATTCACTGGGTTCTTGCAATGATTTTTCTATGAGATAACTCTTGTTTGGTTATATGAATTTTGTGTTAAATTTCCTATGAGTAGTGGCAAAATGTGAGGTTGCTCTGGTGGTCCTTTGGATTAGTCATCAGCATAGTGTAATATGAAGTGGCAGAACCTATGGTTTCCATCTAAAGTTGGTTCCAGCAACAACCCAGACATTATGGAGACACTTTACATAAAGGATGCCCTACCATTGTGGCTGACTTCTGACAGACATATTGAATGAAATCTGTGCAAAACATAATTACCCAAATTAATTCAGCTACCCTTGTCCATACATAAGTAGATATGAAACTGCTGTCATGAAAATCTTATAGACTTATTTTCACAACAAAATCTCCTGGAATAATGTCAAGTTGTGCATTGTGATTAGCTGGAATAGTCATCATCTAGCAGCTGGCACTAAGGGAGGAATGTTTTATCTATGTGCAATGCGTAAAAAATAACAAATGTGTTCAAGATTTTATTATGCTTTGTGCATATCTATCTGTTTGTATGCTGGTACGATCCCAACTGCTGATAATATTAGCCAAGTCAGATCCCAGAGTGAAATCTGGCTTAATAGAATAGAACATAAGTTTTATTTTTGTAGTTGAGTTATCATGGTAGTTAGTCACTTAACATATTCAAAGAGGCTGCCAGTGTACTTTTAGCAAAAGAACATCAAAGTTTATTGCAAGCAAAAGGAAGATACACCATGTAAGAATTATTTGGAACAGTCTTATTACAAATGTCAGCCATAAAAGTTCAACCTTTTTAGGCTCAACACCAACCTTACAGATTTTCTAACCTCAGTGAAGTGTCACTTTGTTTCTACCATAAAGTTCCTTGTTCATTTGATATGGTTGTTTCTTTCCAGAAAATATCTGCATCCTCTTGATTCTGTAGTTCATGTCTCTTCATGAGAACCTTAACCAAACTGTTGACACAGTTCACTTATTTCCAACATGTGTTCCTTAAACTTCTCTTCCACATCCTTCTGTTTGTGGATCTTCTCAGGACCTTGTTCTCCTGAAAGAAAACTACAAACGGACACACACAAATGAGCACGCACACAGGCACAGACACACACTCTTTCTGAATGGTTCTTCCTCTAAAGGCAAACTGTCTGTTTTTGTCTCCCTGGGTCATAGGACACCCAAACTACTGATCTATTCACCTCAAGAATTTCTTTAAAATCTTTATCCAAGTACATGTGAACAAACTTTGGACAATCCACCACATTCACAGGACTCAAAATGAAACTAAATCATCCTTCTTAACATCCATAATATAGAAGTATAAATCAAACCTGAAGCTACATGGTTTTGTCCACTTCTGAACCCAACTTTCCAATTAAATATGTCATGAACCTTTATCACAGCATAAATCAGTGCTTCCAAATCAATTTTCCCACTGTAATCCCATTGGGAATCCTGAAAATTATTGACTCCCCTCTGAGACTTGTGAGAGGATGAGTTGAGGGTCAGTGAAAGTAGGGGCCCTTCTGTTATAGGAGTGGTGCAACTGTTATAATTTAGTTAGGGTTCCAAAACAGCCATTCTTGCCTTGGACCTCATGAACCCAAAATTTCAGCTTGCGACCCCTACCTTGTTTCCTGATCCCCATTTTCAGAAGCCTAAATGTATAGTGAATATCAATTTGCTTCATGAAACAACACAATACTGCACAAACCATACCTTTTCATTATAGAAAATCTGCAGAGTTTCATACAGATTCAATTTTGATTATGGTAAGCCTCACCATTCCCAAAGAATTCCTTTTGGAAAAGTGCCTGGATATTGTGCTTTTAGTATGCTTCTTTTCTAGCTTTTACTTTGAGACCTTTTCTGTTTTGATCTGTAGCTTCAGTCTTTGATCTTAAAACTGAAGAAACTTCAGAAGAAGGCTGTAATGGAAGATGATTATGAGAAAGGTAAGCTCCTGTTGAATTTTCTCATAGCCAGTAGAATTGTTCTAAAATCTTATATTAGTCAAGGAACTTTACATTCTCTTGAGAGCATGAGCTGAATTTCCTCCTAATGATTAAGGCCAAAAGTTCAGTGTTCTAGCATGCTACTGTAAAACTGAGCTGTGACAATGATGGTGAAATGCTGGTGAAATAGTGCTTATGATACTCCACAAAGCAAATTACTGATGTTAACCTCTAATGAATGAATGAATGAGGTTTTCTGTTATGTCTTTAACTATATCTTAGTTTCTGTCTGATTGTGTTTATTTTCTTGAAATTGTATATTTCTTTTCTGGCCTTAACTAGCTTTATTTACCAGATCTAAAATTTGGTTAGATATTGATTACCTTTCCTGAGAAATTCTGTTACATCTGAATTATGTCTATCTTCCTGTTTGTTGCTGGAGCCCATTCTGGATGTGAATTTTGCCAGTGGAGTCCACTACATTGCATCTGGAAGCGGTTTTATGCCACATTTACCTGTTAGCTTATGTCACCATACTCATTTGACCATTCTGCTTAATATTGAGTAAGTTTAAATGATCTATTGTTACAAAATTGTAAGCTGGACAATCTCCTTTAACTTATAAAATACTGTTGGCTTGTTTCACTTGAATGCTTAGAGCAAGATCCAGTTGTTAGCTTTTTCCTGTGAATTTTTTTAGATCCAGCTGAACCATTTCATTTATTTGTCTTCCCCTAAAATATTTTCAGTTTTCTTGACATCGAGCTTATCTTGTTAATTTTTTTAGTTGTTATTCAGAGCCACCTACTGTCCTGAAAATTCTTCATTCCTATCTTCTAAGTCACTTTGAAATAGTCGGTGTTTGCTTCTGCAATGTACGCTTTTATTTCTGAAACTTCTAATTGTTGATTAAAGACCATTCATTTATAGATTGAGACCTTTGACTTGAAACATTTTGGGCATTTTTTGTTTTTTCTCACCTATTTGTTTCTACGTTATTCTTAGCAGGTTCAACCACGGGTTAGCATTTCCATATTCAAATGATGACCAAGAGTTAAAATTGCTGAGTCTCACAATAATGCATAGAAACTTGTCTCCTACATTGTGAAAACCCTTCTTGGGTTAAAACCAGGCCTCTGAATGGACTCATCATAGTTCGTTCATGTTCTCACTTGGATTAGTAGAACAGATTTATACAGTTATATAAACATCACACCAAACTACATAAATGTGATCATTTAATGCAACCTAATCAAGCTTCACAACAAAGGGCGTTGCAAATGCACAGGAACCAATAACTTGACCCGCCGTGTGGCTTGTCTGTTTTGTTTTAAGCTTTTTCTAATTTTTGTTTGAAACTATCTGGACTTTAGTTGGTTATAACACAAGTTTTGGATTTCCAAAACTGAAACTGTGCTTAACAATAGTTTTTTTTTTCTGTTAAATTTAGTATTCTACATGTGTAATATATTTAGTTAGCTATTTTTAGCATAAATTGAAATTTTGTTGGGACTATATTATGCAGTAATGTCTGACTTCCTTTTGATAATTTGCATAAAAACAATTATGCAGCAGATCAATGTTAAATCTTACTTTGTAGTCTCAATTGTCACTTGGCAATACAGAACTTGAGTATTGTGCAATAATTACAACCAATTAACAATTATTAGTTAGACTCACTGCTTGCTAGAAGCTACATATACCCATATGCAAGGTCTTGTTCTGCCCTGCAATCAGGAAAAAGCATGCCTGAGCATTGCATTTTTTAATTTAAAAAATTGCATGAGTCAACAGTTCCCTGGTGCATTGTCCATAGAAATGCCTCAGCCAATCAGAGTTAGCATGCCAAGCAGTCAGCCCCTTTCTCATGCAGTAAAAATTGTTTCCTTTGAAATTTGAAATTCTTGTACTTATTCTGATGAGTGAATGCATAATGAATAGCTTCAACAGCATGTCTTTATTTGGATAAGTCTCACTTTTTTAGTGCTGTATGTAGATTTAATTATCACTTATGAAGAATAACAATTGTTTCAACAAATTTTAAATAATAATTTGGTTTTATTTTAGCTGACCAGTTCAACAAGAAATTAGCTGAGTTGAAAAGAGGAAATTCCTTAAAGTTCCAGTTACCTTCCTCCTATCCTTGTATTGCAAGATTTGTGCAAGAAATTGAACTTCAAGCTCAAGTTGTTGACCATTATAAGTATGTGCATTATTCCATCAGCAGATTATAAATGAAACTTGAAAGAAAACCCATTTTGTATAAAGGAACAAAGACATCTTGATTTTTAAATATAAATGTTTCTAGAAAAAATTACTTATACCAGAAATATCTTGGATTTTCTTTTAGATACCTGTATATATTTTCTTGCCACTGTTGGGACCCAAAGATGGACACTCTACTTCTGGGTTTCTCTAGTGACACCAATTATAAAGAGTTTCTCTGAATGCCAATACTTTAGAATAATTTGGTTTTTAATAATGCAATATAAAAACATGGAAAATAAGTGCAGGAGTAGGCCATTTGGCCATTTGAGCCTACACCTCCATTCAATATGATCATGGCTGATCTTGTAATCTCAGAATCCCATTCCCCCTTTTTCTCCATTCTCCTTGATCCTTCTGGCTGCAAGGGCCATGTCCAGCTCCTACTTGAATATATCTAATGAACTGGCCTCAGCAGCTTCCTGTTGGGAGAGATTTCCACAGGTTCACAACACTGAGTGAAGAAACTCTTCCTCATCTCATATTCCTTATTCTTAGACTGTGAGCCCCTAAGTTCTGGACTTCCCCAATATTGGGAACATTCTTCCCGCATCTAGCCCGTCCAGTCCAATCAGGATTTTATATGTTTCTATGAGATTCCCCTTCATTCTCCTAAATTCCAGCGATTGCCAGCCCAGTCGATTCAGACTTTTCTCATGTCAGTCCTGCCATCCTGGGAATCAGTCTGGTGAACCTTTGCTGGACTTGCTCAATGGCAAAGATGTCCTTCCTCAGACTAGGAGACCAATATATATGTATGCTGGTATAACTCTAGCTGTATTTATATAAAAATTACTCATCTAAATTTTATTCTTTTCCCTCTACGTTGATTTCTCATCTAGCTTCCAGCTTGTCCAACCCACAATTTTTAGCAAATTTTGGCAATGGAACTCTATTTTTACTTCAATTCTGACTTGCTGATTTGTCCCGTTTAAATTTTAATAAATCAAGATTTTTGTAAACAGCTGTTCTTAATGCTGTTGTCATTCATGGGTCAAATCCTGAACTAAGAATATCTGTTGACAACAGCTTGAAATACAAGCAAATTAATGTCGATGTTAAATTTAAAACGTACATGTGATCCACTGAACCAAGTACACACTTAAGACATGTTCTGGTTTAACTTACCGATTTCCTGTTGAAGTGCTGCTAATGTTCTGTCAAACTTCTTCAGTGGAATCTGCTTAAACTGTTTAAAAAAAGGCACAAGCTAAGGAAGTCTGTTAGTAACTAATAGCACCGGTCTTGAATAGAAATCCAGTTTTCTAATGTAAGAACTTTAACATTTTGGGTGTGCTGGTGTTTCATGTGCAAAGAATATGCAACAGTTTGTAATCTTCTGTTAATGTACATTTAGCAATACAGGTAATTTACTACAAAGTGTAGAAGAGAGATTTTCAGATTCAAAACCTGATAATCTACACATGTCATGGTCAAGGAAAAAACAGCTTATTCAAGACAGACAGCAGTTACAGGTACGTGATGAATTGTACACATTTATACAATTAATGTCCTTTTTTAAAAACAGTGAAGCAAATTATTATAGTTAATTCACTGGTTCCTATGGATGGAGCATATTTGAAATTTGAGTTTATGGAAAGACAATATATTCATTTATGAAATATAATTTGCAATGTTACTATAGTTCACAATAGAAATGTGTTGTTCATTGCTCTGATTCCAGCTGATGTTATTGCTGAATGAATCAGATCCCTGTCAGGAACCTGCCTTGAAAGGTCATACTTTTATTTGTTCTGGTTTTAACAAACTGCTGTCAGTTAAAACATAAGCACACAATGCTGCAGATTTGCTATTAACAGTAAAACAAAAGTTTATTACAGAAGAAATGGCGATAAAATTGAACAATTCGAAACAAAATAGGGCTGCCTCTCACAAGAGAGACAACTGATGGTGAGTTTAACCTGAGGTTCACCATGCCTCAGGTGAGGTTGAGAAGGAGGGACCTTCATGGTAATGTCAGCTGATGTGGAAATTGAACCCACACTGTTGGCTTCGCAGTGTATCACAAACCAGCCATCCCGACAACTGAATTAACTATCTACTTATAATAGAAATTCAAAGGTTTTAAGCATATAATAAGAGTATAATGCCATTAATCCCAAAACACTCCTTTATAACTTGAAAAGAAACAAAGCAGGTTTTATTTAGTGTCCAAAACAAACCCTGGTACAGTTCTCAAAACATCCCTTGTATACTCCCACTAGAGCTCCTATATCTAACACCTCAGTTGATTTAAGTCATGTGTGATTTCAACCAGCAATTCAGGAGAGATGTTAGAAAGTGCTTCTACATGCAAAGAGTAGTGGAAGTTTGGAACTCTATTCTTCAAATGGCGATCAGTGCTAATTCAGTTGCTACATTTAAATCTGAGGTAGACAATTTTTTATTAAGCTAGGGTATCAAGGATATGGCCTAAGGTAGGCGTACAGAATTAGGCAACAGATCAGTCATAATCTTGTTAAATAGCAGAACCCAAATGTTCTTTAAGTTACTTCACATTGACTTACACTGCAAATTTTTTTTTAATATGAAATAAAGCAAAAGACTTGCATTGCTATAACACCTTTACCCAATACAGAAAAATAACCTAAAACCAAAGGCATAAAGGTTTTGGTAGAAGATGAATTGATGCAGGAACAGAGTTGAGCAATGTCATTAGAGTAGTATGCTCGACAGAGTTCTTGGAAACAGACTAGAAATGTATCAGTAGCTCATGTCAGTCAGATATTGCAGCAATGTTGTGAATGGTCAGGTTGAACCTTGGACAATTACTTGGAAGAAGAATGAAGCTAATGGTAAGGAATAGAGTTTGTGGTGGGGACCAAGAACAACTAGGCCTTCAGCTACATTCTTTCAATTTTTTTTCTTCTTCTGCGCATACCTCTGAGGCTTGGGCATGGCAGTGACTTCCAAAACCAGAAGTTAATGTATTAGCATGCCTCTGAGCAGCTGCACAGCTAAAGGGAATGTTGGACTTCAGTCTTCCCCATATTTAGAGAAAATTCCTGCTCAATCAGTACCTAATGACAGATAAGGAATATGACATTAATACAGTGAAGGGTCAAGAGAGGTGGTGATAAGATACATCTGGGTGCGATCAACCTGATGTTGTGTTGGTATTGCAAATGGGAGGAATGCAGATTAGAAACAGGAGGGATCGAGAATGGGACCTTGGGGGACTCGAGAGGTGTGGCAGTGAGGTTGTTGTAAGTGATTATAATTATATAGCTGAGCATGGAGTGCCATCCAGCGGGATAATAGAAGAGACCCATTGAAGGAAGATAATGCAGTTAACTGTGTCAAAGACAGAAAGGAAAATGATGTTGCTGTTAATTCTTTTAACTTGAGGCAGCAGGTGATTGTTTTTCTTTAGTCTCAAAGTAAGGAAAATGTAATTTTCTATTATTTTATATTAACAAATCAGATAAATAAGGTTAGATATTTATGGCAGGGAAGTGTTATATGTACCATAACTGCAGCATATGGGTGTTTGTGGAGAACATTGCAGTCCTGTCCATCTGTATATGCAGTACAATCTATAGCTCAAGGGATTTCAATGCAGAGTGGTTGGGCTGGACCCTGAGCTGCAGACATTGCAGGGCATCAGGGAGCGTGAGGGTTATCCGAACTCTCTGTTCCAGATGGCAGTCCTTGGATTCAAGTACTGAGTCTACTACAGTCCTGCAGGAAGTCATTCAGTCAAGGAAGTGAAAAGAGATGTACTATAACAGGAATCTGTATCGTCAAAGGAATAGATCCTGTTTTGTATAACCACAACTGGGAGTTCATAAGCAAATTGGCATAGGATAAATACAGAGTTGAATGATTGGCTCAAAGACTAGTATGGGAGAATGGGTTTTAATTCATAGGATACTGATGCTAGTACAAGAGAAAGAGGGAGCTTTACCATTGGGGGAGAAAGTGTCCTTGAAAATCATAAACTGCGGGGAGCTTTAAATAGAAAAGTTTTTGGAAGGCTTCTCATCAGAGGAGATCCAGAAAGGAAATGAGAAAGGATAAGGTAATTGTGCAGGTTCGTGATTATAGGCAGTGATAATGGAGTGTGGCAGGAAGTACAAATTTAAGCATGCAACTTAACAGAGTACACTGAATAGTAGTAGTGGAAAATGGTAAAAATACAGAATGAAAATCCCTTTATCTGTCTGCACTGGCATTTTTAAGATAGATGAATTGATTGCACAATATATGATGAGCAGTCCAGAGATGTATTTACAATGTAACCAAATGTAATGCTTCTAAACTTGTAGATGATACAAAGCTAAGAGGGAATGCGTGTGGTGAGGAAGCTGTAAAGTGACTTCAGGAGGATTTTGAGAGGCTTAGTGAATGGACAACAACATGGCAGATAGAATATGATGTGGAAGAATGCAAGGTTATCCATTTTGGTAGGAGAAACAGGTGTGCAGATATTTTTTTGAATGGGAAGAGGTTATCCTTGTCGATGAGTCAGTGAAGGCTAACGTGCAGGTGCAGCAAGCTGTTAGGAAGGCTAATAGAACGTTAGCCTTTATTGCAAGAGGATTTGACTAGTGAACTCTTGGTACAATTGTGTTGGAACTTGGTTAGACCATACCTGGAATAGGATGTAAATTTTGCCCTCCTTAGAGAATCATAAGGTAATACAGCATGGAAACAGGCTCTTCGGCCCAAACTGGTCCATGCTGACCATGCTAGTTCCAATTGCCCACATTTGGTCCATATCCCTCTAAACCCTTCCCACCTATGTACCTGTCCAAATGTTTTTTAAATGTTGCTATTGTACCTGCCTCAACCACTTTCTCTGATAGCCCATTCCATTTATGCACCACTCTCTGTGTGAAGAAGTTGCCCCTCAGGTCTTTCTTAAATCTTCCCCTCTCACCTTAAACCTATGCCCTCTAGTTTTCAATTCCCCATCCCTGTAAAAAAGATTCATCCTATCTATGCTCCTTATGATTTTATACACCTCAATAAAGTCACTCCTCAACCTTCTATGTTCCAAGGAATAAAGTCCTATCCTGGCCAACCTATCCCTCTAACTCCGGCTTACTAGTCATGGCAACATCCTCATAAATCTTCTTTGCACACTTTCCAGTTTAATTATGTCTTTCCTATAAACTGTACACAGCGCTCTAAACGCGGCCTCACCAATGACTTATACAACTGTAACACAACTGCTATACTCAATGCCTTGACTGTTGAAGGCCAGCATGCCAAATGCCTTCTTCACCACCCTGTCTATCTGTGATGCCGCTTTCAACGAACTATGTACTTGTACTCCCAGGTCCCTCTGTTCCTCAACACTCCACAGGACCTTACCATTTACTATATAAGTCCCACCTTGGTTTGACTTTCCAAAGTGCAGCACCTCACACTTGTATGCATTGAATTGCATTTGCCACTCCTCAGCCCACTTGCCCATCTGATCAAGATCCCTCTCTAATTTTTGCTAACCTTCTTCGCTACCAACTATACCTCCTAATTTTGTATCATCCGTAAACTTACTAATCATGCCTTGTGCATTCACATCCAGATCACTTATGTAAATATAGCAAAGGTCCCAGCACCGACCTCTGTGGCACACCACTAGTCAGAGGCCTTTACTCTGAGAAGAAGCCTTCAACCATCACCCTCTGCTTCCTACCATCGAGCCAGTTTGGAATCCAATTAGTTACCTCTCCCTGGATCCAATGCGACCTTAACCTTCATGACTAGCCTGCCATATGGGACCTTGTCAAAGGCCTTACTAAAGTTCCTATGGACAACATCCACTGTCCTACCCTCATCTATCCTTTTGGTCACCTCTTCGAAAAACTCTGAAAGATTTGTCAGACATGACTTCCCACGCATAAATCCATGCTGACTATCCCTAATCAGACCTTGACTATCCAAATGTTGGTTAATCCTGTCCCTCAGTATCCTCTCCCATAGCTTGCCTAACACTGATGTCAGACTCACTGGCCTGTAGTTCCCTGGCTTGTCTTTACTACCTTTCTTAAACAATGGAACAACATTAGCCACCCTATAGTCTTCTGGAACTTCATCAGTGGCTAAAGATGAAGCAAAGATCTCTACAAGGGCCTCTGCAGTTTCTTCCCTAGCCTCCTATAACGTCCGAGGATGGACTTGATCAGGCCCAGGGGATTTATCCACTTGAATGCAATCTAACGCTGTAAAAACTTCCTTTCTTGTAATATGTGTGTGATCCACAACATCCCCACTTGTTTTCCTTAGTTCTCTCCTCAGTAAACACTGATAAGAAGTATTCATTAAAAATCTCCCCCATCTCATGTGGTTCCACACATAGATGGCCATGCTGATCTTTAAGGGGATCTATTCTCTCCCTAACCACTCTTTTACTCTTCATATATCTACAGAACCCCTTGGGATTATCTTTAACCTTATCTGCCAGATCTATCTCATACCTTTTTGCTGTTCTGATTTCCCTCTTAAG